CTACTACTACTACTACTACTACTACTATACTACTATATTACTATACTACTACTACTACTACTACTACTACTACTACTACTACTACTACTACTACTACTACTACTACTTATTACTACCTACTACTTACTACTACTAATACCACTACAACTACTACTACTACTGCTACTACTACTACTACTACTACTACTATGTTCCTTACTAATATACTCCCCCTCCTCCCCAACCTCCTCCTCCTCCTCCTCTTCCTCCTCCTCCTCCACCTCCTCCTCCTCCTTCTCATCCTCCTCCTCCTCCTGACACGTACCCAGGGGGGGCGGTCAGGCCGATGACGGTCTCAGCTTCTACCTCGACGAAGCGCTGCTCGCACTTGAGGCACAGCAGCTCGCACTATTCTCTCTGGGAGGGGGGCGGGGTGAGAAGAAAGAGTGGTGCACAGGATATGGGAGGCGACGACAAAATGGCAGGCAGCAGGGGACGGGGATTTCAGACCGAGGCGAGTAAAGAGGTCGGGAGAGGGGGAGACATCCAGAATCTTTGCAGTCCAGCTCAAGACTCTGGAGCACTCAAAATAGTGAGGCACGTGGTCGCGGCCGCACCTGCAGCCAAATCTACACTGATCCCCGTCCTCTTGAAATCTAGCTGCCGTCGTCCACGCTCCGAAGAGCGATTTAATGTACGAAGATGATAGAGCTGGTGGCAACTGGACACATGCAACCCGCACCCGCTCCCAGTCTATCTCATTAATCTCACTCGCGTGCAGAGGGTACCAATTCTTTAGACGGCGAGCAAGAGAAGACGAGACAGCATGAGGATGGAGGAAGCTCGAGATGGAAGCACACAATGCGCGCTGGAGCTTAGGACGAGCACCAGCGTGCTGAGATGGGTCCCTAAGCAAGGCTAGGATCGGATGAGCCTCCTCCAGCGCTGCTCTACCACACTGCGCCCAGGCCGGGTTTGAAGGGAAGCCCCTGGCTGCCTCACGGACATGCTCTACAATGCTGATATCGGCCCAGAAGGCGGGAGACAATTTGTTCTCGCACAGATCTCGGATGGACCGCTGGGTCAGAGCAGCAGCATGCAATCGTGCATATACTGACTCCCAGCCTCGGAATGTCCACAGCGCGGCTCTCATACGAGATGCAAGGTTGACCGCAAGTCCGCTTCTGAACTTCGGTGCTCCCCACAGATGTATATTGAAGAAGTCAGAGCGGGCAAAAGAGCAGTGTGGGACGCGAAAGACAGAAGCTAACAGGGCATGTTCTGACTGGGGGAATCTGGGAGGGAGAGGGAGGAACTGACCAACGTAGGAGAGAGTCGTCAGAGCCCTTTTGTCGTACATTGCGGCGGCGACAGCAGTGGAAGGAGAAGCGGCAGCGATAGCTTGGACACGCATCGAGTGCTTAGCTCGGGGAGCGATCCAAGATTGCCAGCGGACTTCAGGTCCAAGGATCAGACCGAGGTATTTCAGCGATGGGGGAATCTGAAACTCGGCCCAGGCTGGGATCGCACGAGCGATCCAGTCTCTGTATTTCTGGGCCAGGGCCGGTGTAAAGGGACCCGCAAGAGGAGTCAGAAAGCACTTACTAACTTTTAAATGCAGGGCCGCAAAGGCCGCCGCGGATTGGAACATCTTGAAGAGGGTTTTCAACCCCGCTAAGACGTACACCACTGCTCCGAGGTCGTCAGCACACGCACGGGCCGCGCCAGTCGTCAGTCGCCTGTACGTTTTGGAGCTCATCGTCGAACTAGCTGCTGGGGCGGCTCTCTCTTCAAGGGTGTCCTCGAGCAGGGCAAGAAATGGGTGAGAAGCGAGGGCGTACAGGGCACCACTGCCAGGACAGCCTTGCACTATACCCGAGAGGATGTGAAAGAGCGGCAGCTGAACATGTCCAGCCATCGCGAAACACAGAACATTCGAATATATCACTCGGACGAACCATTTGAGAGGAGAGGGGATAGCGAGGGAGTCAACGACAAGAAGGAGCCAGGGGTGAGCGAGACTAGGAAAGGCGTGTGCGAAATCGAAGCTCACGAGAGCAGGGAGGGCATGGGGGGCACACTCACGCATCGATGCCACACGTGCGTACATGTCGAGCTCGATCACATTCATGCCATGGTTCCGCCCCCGAACGAAGCCGCGCTGCAGCTTGCTGACGAAGTTGGGGATCTCTACAGAGAGGGACCAGAAGACTGCTGCCGTTATCACCTTGACGTCCGCGCTTTTGAGCCCGAGGGGTCTGGTCTGGGAGGCTTCACGTATGATACCTTCAGGGTCCCCATCTTCTTCCCCCTTAGGGATGAAAGCTTTTCTAAGATAGTTGAAGTCACTTCCCATGTATTGTCCACTAAGACACCACCACATCACAGTTGTCAGGATCTGGGGCCCACGCGGGTGAGAAAGCCAGGCAGCGTAAGGTAGGCCGTCTGGCCCAGGAGAACTGTTGGAGGCCTTCTGGAGCACCCTAGAGATCGTGGCCTGTGACGGGGGCGGGAGGTTCATGAGGTCCACCTTGGGCCCGTACTTTTCGACAAACTCGGCAGCTTTCTGGATCTCCACCTGCTTCGTACTGAAAATCTGCCCCCAGTGTGAAGACAGAGCGCCCAGCATCGCTTCTGGCGCTGTGAGAACCTGGCCTTGATGTCCTCCTCCTCCTCCTCCTCCTCCTCCTCCTCCTCCTCCTCCCCCTCCTCCTCCTCTTTCTCAACCGTAGCCAATTTGACTCAAGCTGTGTTCCCAGCTTTCTCCGCTGCCTTTTCGCCCATGGCCGGTGGCGTGCTGCTGGCGGCCCGGGTTCGGATGGGCTAAGGAGGGCGGGGACAGGATGGCTGTACGGGATGAGGCCCCTGGAGGTGGCCTTGTGAGACGCTCAGCTGCGGCGCGGCGTACGGCGAGGGCGGCGGCGGCGCTCGCTGCGGACGGGGCCATTCGGCGGCTGCAGCGGCAGCTGGCGCAGGTCCTTGCCGAGGCCGATGCGCTGCGAGCTGAGCTGGGCGCGCTGCGTGCGGTACCTAGCTGTTGCGACGAAGTTGAGGGGCGTGTTCGTCTCATCGTCCCAATTCTTGCTGCTGGAGTCGCAGACGCTGACGTGCCGCCCGCTGTGGTGGCGCGCCGCAACCTCGCGGCCCACGAGTTCGGCGTGCCAGCGGCGCAGATTGCTACTGCGAGCCTGCCCGAGCTCAACCGTCTTCAACGCCAGGGTGCTGGAGGTCGTCGTCGTCGTCGCAGGAGGCGCCTTCCTCAGTGCTCCGACGCGGTGGACGTTGCGGGCGAGGTTGCGAACATGACCGTCGACTCGGTGGAGGAGCTGTCCTGCTCGTCGGATGCTGCCGCGGCGTGCTTCCCTGTGCTCTGCACGTGCGGGGCCACGCTGTAGTTCGATGATGTTCAGCGTCGTTGCGATGCATCTGGGGCTGCAGAGGAGTCGACGGAGGTGTTGTGTGATAGCAGCGGCGGCCATGATGAGGACATGGGCGACGAGCTCGCGGAGGTTGTTGAGGTTGCTGATGCTCCTGCTGGACACGTGCTCCGCGCTGAGGCCCCAGCTTTCGTGCCGAGGTGGGCGATTGAATGCCCTTCGTTCGTGCGGGACTTGCCTGAGCCCGTCGGCGATGTCATCATGAAGGATGGGCCCCACGAGGGCGAAGGGCAGCAGTGCAGGGCTGCGGCTGGCAGTGCTGAGGCGGCATCGGCGCCGAAGAAGTAGAAGGGTCGCTTGCGGGAGCTGCTGGAGAAGGCCGAGCGCGATGGCAGCGCCCCCTTCTCCCCCGTGCTCATGGACGAGCTCCTCGGCCGCAGGTGACGCTGCTCCTCGGGGAAGAGTTGCTCCTGCGCTTCTGCGTCTCCGTGGTCCACGTCACGGTCGGGGGCCAGCGCTGGCCAGGTCCAGTTGCTGGCCCCCGCGGCGCCCCCCCACCCCGCCACAGTGGAGTGGCTGTCATCCTGAGTCCTGGGTCCTCCTCCTCCTCTTCCTTCTCCTCATCCTCCTCCTCCTCCTCCTCCTCCTCCTCCTCCTCCTCCTCCTCCTCCTCTTCCTCCTCATGTCCTCCTCCTTCTTGCTATTCCTCCTCCTCCTCCTCATCTTCCTCCTCCTCTGCAGAATCATCATCACCATCCTCAGTATCAACATTAACATCAGAACCATCAGCATCGCCATCATCATCACATTCATCATCATCATCATCATCAGCAGCATCATAATCATCATCATCATCATCATCATCATCATCATCATCATCATCAGCAGCAGCAGCAGCAGCAACCTCATCATCATCAGCATCATCAGCATCAGCAGTATCATCACCATCAGCATCAGCATCATTATCATCAGCATCATCAACATCATCGTCATCGTCATCATCATCCGCGTCATGATCATCCTCACCATCATCATCACCATCATCCCACATCTGATCCTCCTCCTCGGGAAACGCATTCTCACCCGTTGAAGGCCACAGAGATCAACAGCAGCAACAGTGGCAACACCATCATCAGCATCATCATCAGCAGCAACATCATTATCGCCATCGACATCGTCATCGTCATCACCGTCATCGTCCTCATCAGAATCATCATCATCATCATCATCATCATCATCATCCTCATCATCATCAGCATCAGCATCATCATCAGCATCATCATCATCATCAGCATCATCACCATCGTCAGCATCGGCATCGCCATCGACATCGTCACCGTCTGTCATCATCGCCATCGTCCCCATCATCATTAGCAGCAAACACAGCCGTGATCGTCATCCTCATCACCGTCGCCATACGCATAATCATCAGAAGCCTCATCATCACTGGCAGCAACGGTATCAGCATCGTCGTCATCACCAGCATGATCAGTATCATCTTCACTATCATCAGTGGCATCATCTTCACCATCGTAGTCATCAACAACAGCACCGCCACCATCGCCACCAGCATCATCATCCCCATCACCACTACCAGCATCACGAGCATCACTAGCATGGCCACCATCACCTGAATAGTCAGCATCCTCATCAGCAGCAGCAACATCACCACGAGCACTGTCACCATCATCAGCAGAATCATTAGCAGCATCAGCACCATCAGCAGCAGCATTATCATCATCAGCAGCAGCAGCAACATCACCATCAGTATCACCACCATGACCATCATCCTCATCATCATCATCGACATCGGCATCGACATCGGCATCATCACCATCACCAGCATCATCAACATCATCCTCATCACCAGTACCACCATCGAAATCACAAGCACCATCACCATCACCATCACCATGACCGTCATCACCAACCGACCTGCATCATCATCGTCAACAGCATCAGCACCATCATCAACATCATTATCATCATCGTCATCACCATCGTCATCGGCGCCACCGTGATCATCATCAAAAGCCACCAGTACCAGCAGTACCAGCACCACCGTCAACACCATCATCGTAAACAGCACCATCATCGTCGGCATCAGCAGCACACACACCATGAGCATGGGCATCAAAATCATGATCAGCATTAATATTATCACCAGTAGCACCAACACCATCAGCATCAGAAGAGTCACCCGATCCACCGCCATCCTAATCTTCGGTCAGTATCATCAGCACCAGCAGCAATAGCAATAACAGGAACATCATCATCAACAGTAGCAAGAAACGTAGCACCAGAATCGGCATCGCCACCAACAACGCCATCAACCTTGCCGTCTTCATCGTCGTCGTCATCGTCCGCATCAAGCACCGTCATCGTCACCATCGGCAGCTGCAACTTCTTCACCGTAAACACCATCATCAGCATCGACGTTGTCGTCGTCATCCGAATCGTCACCGTCATTGGAACCATCACCCTTAACCATCATTAGCATGACCAACACCATCGTTTTAACCATAAACACTACACATATATCACCACAAATCATTCATCATGAGCAGTACCATCAGCAACAGCAGCGCGATCAAGATCCACTTCAATACAGTCAAGTACAGCAATGCCCTCCTCTGCATCGCCATCGCCCTCGTCTCATCATCAGCAGCAGCATCCTCATCCGTATTATCGTCATCATCATCATCATCATCATCATCATCATCATCATCATCATCATCCTCATCATCATCACCTTCATCATCATCATCATCATCATCATCATCATCCTCATCATCATCACCATCATCATCATCACCATCACCATCACCATCATCATCATCATCATCATCATCATCATCATCATCATCGTCATCATCATAATCATCCGCACCATAAACATCATCAGCATCATCCGCATTATCGCCACCAGCATCACCATCATCATCATCATCAGCATCGTCATCACCACCATCACCATCACCATCACCATCACAGTCACCATCATCATTATCATCATCAAAGCATCGGCATCATCAATATGATCATCATCATCATGATCAGCATCATCATCACCACCATCATCATCATCAGCAGCATCATCATCGGTCCCCCCCCACTCCTCACCATGATCAGCAGCATCAGCGTCGTCCATGTTGTTATCACCATCGCAAGCATCATGATGCTCATCACCTGTATCCTCACCCTCATCAATATCCGCATCCTCCTCATCATAATCCACATCCTCGACAAAGCCATAGCGCATCGTGAGTCCGACACGCTGGAATACCACTTACGCCACCGCGCCAGCGTGCGTGGATGACTTCTGCTGCCACCCCGTCCTCCTCACCACCATCCGCCACACCATCCCCCAGGGCACTGAGTTGCGTGTCCTCGGGTCCTTCGAAGCCTCTGCACAGTGAGTGTGCAATGCTATTCCGGGTGCCCGCGGCCCCGAGTGGGAGCCGCACACGGGCGCTCCTGGGGCTTCCCGCGCGCCATCCCGGGGCCCCCCGCTAAACTCTGTCTTGGACCCTCGCGGGGGCCCAAGACGGGCCAAGACGGTCCCGAGGCGCCCCCGCGAGGGTCCAACAGAACTCCGAGACGGCCCAAGAGCACTCCAAGACGCAGAAGATGGCTCGAGACAGTCCAGGCGGCCCCCACAACGACCCAAGAAGGCTGGGCGACTCAACACAGAAAGCGGCGGTAATTGACCGCAGGCGTCTTTGACAACTTCCACGATCGTCGCAAGCTCTGACCCCTTCTGCAGGGTCGGCGGAATGGCGTAAGCCACTTGATTGAGGGAGTCAGGGAGTGAGGAACCTAAACATATTGAAGGGGCCCTGGGACACACAAATAAATACACACAAATATTTGTTCCTATCTTTTCTGGGTTTTGTCTTCCCCCCCCACTTCCCATATTTTCCTGGGGATCGACGATTAGTTGTGTCTGTGTGCTTTTTCCCCTCCTGACATATGAAGTCATCTTTTTCACGTGGACCCCAGGAGGTCCAGGCCCCTCCTCCGAGACCGGCTCATCCTGCCGAGCCACTCCTTACGGCCCGAGGACACGGCTCAAGGCCCCAGCCCGGAGACGCCGAAGATGGTCAAGGAGCCTCCGGCGTGAGCTCTGCCACGACGCAGCGAAGGGTCTAGCATTATGTTGTTCCCATCCTACTTAAGGACCACATCCCAGAAATGATTTCGAGCACCCAGAACAGTGTCGAGCGAGTGTCGAAAGAGTGTCGAAACAGCGTCAAACGAGTGTCTCCCAGGGCCCGACACATGAAAACCCTCGAGTTTGGGGGTACTTTTCCTGGTGCTCGAAATCCTTTCTGGTGGTCAAGGCTAAAGTAGAGTGGAACATCATAAGTCTAAAGGAGTGAGGAGGGAAGAACGAGCAGGGTGGGGCAACTGTTTTGCCGTGGGCCGCTTCCAGAGCTCTTCGCCAGGCCTTTCTGCGCCCTACTGGCGCCCTGCTATCCGGACTCTTCCCGGATAGCCTGTAGAGAGCAAAGATGGCTTCGGATGAGGCAGCCCGATCCGCAGGGCAGCCCCTGAGGACGTCCCGGCTTCGGTGAAAACACCGCGGAGAAATCTGCTTGAGTTCGCAGCGTGCTCCCCACGGCGCGCCGGCGCGCCGGGGAGGGGAGAGACAGGGCGGGGGGAGCACGGAGGCCGTCGCCGAAGAGGGGGTGGCCGCCTGGCCGAAGCGCGGGGGCGCCGGAGCGCGCTGCCCCAGGCTGCTCCCGCGGAGGCCGAGGGCAAGACCACAGCTCGTGGGGTCTGGGAGCAGAGCAAAAGTCCGCGTCTGGCCATCGCTCGGACGTCCATCCCCTGTATTTTTGTTCGGTTTTGTGCGTGTTTTTTCCGCCAAATGATCAAGGATGCTCCTCGATGGTCCTCGCCGAAGGAAAAATGCACACGTCCGAGCGATGCCAGGGCGTCGCCAAGAACTCTGAGGGCGCGGCAGCTCCGCCAGCGTGTGCACTGGCGCCCGCCGCGCACTCCCCCGCCTCCTGCCGAGACGGCTGTGAAGACAAGCCTCCACGAGGCTCCAAGCTGGCTGCAGACTTGAGGTGTTGCACGAAGCGGAGAGAGCTCACCTGCCTCTGACTCCACAGAGCAACAGGCCATCAAGTGCAGAAATGGCCGGAGAACACAAGTCGACTCAACGGATAGTGGGTTCAATCAACGGTGAAACCAACGGCTCAAGCATGCAGTCGGATCGCTTGGATGCCTTGGACGCTTCCATTTCCCAGTCGGTCCACAAAAACACTCGACAGCCAAAAGCGAGTGCCATGCCCCCCAAGCCGACAGCGAGGCCAACCCAAAGGCCGAAAATGCCCAAGCCCAAGCTGAAGCAAGTCCAATACCCGATCGGCAGTGCCACCACCCAGAAAGCAAAGAAGATAGATTTTGCCAAGAATGCTTGCTGGCCCATTGCACGCAAGACACCGCCACTGACGCCCTGAAAGCCATCAAGCAGTTGAAAGCATGCAGCCACAGGTGCAACTGTGGCCACCAATGCAATAACTTCCTCGTTTGGGCTGAAAATGCTGCCCAAAGAATGCCTCAGTCCGTAAAGCCCAAACGCAGAGATGAGCATGAAGGTTGTACCTACTCCGATACACAACTGAGCAGAGAGCTTTGCTGTGGCACTGTCACCTCTACCCAGAAGGTTCCCGATGCGGATGGTTGCGGCAATAGAAACGCCCAGCGGAACTGACAAATCCGCCGCCGCGCCTCCAGCACGTAATTAGTGGAGCATCCAACAAATCCTCACTGGACCAAGGTATTTCATCATCCGTCCTCCTTCCTCCATCTGCCCTCCTCTATCCTCCATCCTCCTTCCCCCCTCCGTCCTCCACCCCCTCCGCTTCCTCCCCGTCCTCCTCTCCCCGTTCCTCCTCCTCTTTCTCCTTGCTCTCCTCCTCCTGTTCGTCCTCCTTGTCCTCCTCCTCCTCTTCCTCCTCCTTTTCCTTTTCCTCCTCCTCCTCCTCCTCCTCCTCCTCCTCCTCCTCCTCCTCCTCCTCCTCCTCCTCCTCCTCCTCCTCCTCCTCCCCCTCCGCATGGCGGAACGATCCGTGGATCCTGCGCGGCCGCAAACGCCCGCTTTATGGCGGTCCCCGCCGGCCTCTGGAGGGCGACGGGCAGGGGGCCCGATCGTTCGGGCCTGTGCCGGGTCTCTCTCCTGGGTCGCCATTGGAGGCCGCGGGGCCTGCCCAGGACGCCCAGACCTTCCTAACCAGCCTCGAACGTATCCCTATCCCTAAGATGGGCGAGCAAAAAGCGAGGACAATCCGCCGACCCCTTGGGGTTCATCGGAGTGTGAGATCTTCCCCCTCCCCAAACCCCTCCCCTGGGAGTCCGGTCCAGTCGATTTGGAGGGGGGGCGGGTCCATTCAAATTCCCCGCTTCCCCCGGGGGGGTCATCCGCCCCCGAAAATGCTGCAGGGACTCCTCCGGTGGCCTCGAAATGGCCCCGGGACGCACCACGACGGCTCAAGAGGACCTCCACCTTCGGTGGCTCCGAGATTCCCCAATATGGGCTCAAGACAGCCCACGATGCCTCCAAGGCGCCCCAAGAGGCCCCGAAGGGGCGCCCCAAGAAGGTCCAAAGCAGCGAAAATCATTGATTCTCCACAGGAGAAACGTACATTTCTAGCATCGACGACTTTTCAGCGTGCACGGAATTCCAGCCAGTCTAAGAGGCCCCCAAGGCCACCCCATGACGTCCCAAAATGGTCCCAAAAGGCGCCCAAGACGGCCCAAAACGGCGCCAAGACGGCCCCAGAGGCTCCCGAATCGGCCAAAAGAGTCCCAAGACGGCTCCTAGAGGGGCCCCAGCGGCGGAGCCCGAACCGAAAATCCGAGCCCTCCGCTCCCACCTGGCCCTGGGACACCCCACGAGCCGCCCAAAAGGTCCCAAGAGACACCCAAAAGACTTCCAAAAAGCGTCCGAAAGGCCCAAAAGAGGCCCCAAGAGGTCCCATAACGACTCAAACCGGAGATTTGCCCTCCCCGGGCCCGGCACGACCGCATCACGGGACTTTTCCGGGGTCAAGAGGGCCTAAACACGGGCCAAGAAGGATCCCCAGAAGCCTCCAAGACGGCCCACGAGAGCTCCGAGACGCCAAACGACCTCTCCGACTTCGGTCGTCTTCTCTTGCACGCGCCGCTCCTGTCGCCTTTTGATGATTCCCCACCTGTTGCTGCTGCAAATGTTTCGTGTCCGAGAACGCTCCTCCGCACGACGCGCACGTCACGTCGCACCTCGTTCTCTCGCCCCTCCGCGCATTTCCGACAGAGCCTCTCCCCCGATGAATTGTGTTTCTTCTGTGCACCCGACATTTCCGCCTGCTCTTCCAACAGCGTCAGACATGTCTTGCTCGAACGCATGTAAGGGGTCGGCGGATGTGGCGCAAGCCTGGAGAATCTTAGGGATAGGCCCTCAGAAACTGAGGGAATCCTTAAGATCGACATCGAGGTGAGGTGATGTCAAACATAGGGATAGGGATATGCTTCAAACTGGTAACTTCCAAAGTGATGGAATACGCTTGGTGCTGCTGCAAATGCCGTGCCTCGGCCTCGCGGGCGCTGTTGCTGGTGCTGCCGACGTCTCGTTTCGGCCTCGAGGGTGTGGGTTCGCCCCGAGATGGCCCGCAAGGCGCCAACAGAAGAGCCTCCAAGGGGCGGGGCCCCAAGCCGGTGAAGACCAGACAGAGTTCAGGAAGACCAGACAAAGTCCAGGAACACGGTTGGCAATCCGCCAGTTCTTCCCCGAGACGGTCCGAGACCCCCACGAGGCTCCGAGAGGCCCCCCCAAGAGGACCCCAAAGCCCAGAAGAGGCCCCGAGGGGCCCCCGAGAGGCCCCCCGAAAGCTCCCCGCAAAATAAGCGCACATACAAAGCAAAAAAAGTATGCCCAACCGTGTTCCTCGGAGCCCCTCGGGGGCGCTTTCCAGGAATGTGATTGGGAATGCGTTGTTGAGTTCGACTGTTCCCACTGCTCAAAGGATTCATATGATTCCTCTCTTTTTCATACTCTGTGTTTACCAGCATACCAAAGGAGGACAGGAGTGTAACAGCGGATGTTCTGGCTTGAAGACATTCAAGCCCAGGCTGCCATGAACCCACCTCCAAGCCGTCACATAGATTCCCAAACCATCTGCTGAAAAGAATTGGCATGACATCGCAAATGGTCATGCAAGCCTCGTATCATGTTACATCTGGATTGGCAGCCCTGTGAAAATGTCCCAACCAAACGGTAATATGAAGCAGACTGGTGGGAAGCGACCAAAATCCGATTCCTGGGTCACCTCTGCGTTGGGATCGAGCCTCCCTGTCCAATTATGTTTGCTATGTGGTTACCTCTGTGTCTCTCTCGCTCTCTCTCTCCCTCTCTCTCTCTCTCTCGCTCTCGTTCTCTCTCCCTCTCTCTCTCTCTCTCTCATATATATATGTGTGTATATATATATGTGTGTATCTCTCTGTGTCAGCCTCGCTCTATGGATCTCTCTCGTTCGCTCTCTCTCTCTCTCTCTCTCGCGTTCTCTCTCTCTCTCTCTCTCTATCTCTCTATCTCTCCCCCTCCCTCTCTCTCTCTCTCTCTCTCTATGAATATATATATATATATATATATATATATATATGTATGACTACAACTCCATACAAAAACACATTTGTATACATGTATGTATGCATACGTGTACACATGTGGAAATGTGACAAAATAGACGTGTATAAAGAGTGGCTCCATAGTATAACCATTAGGCGTATAGTTCCATTGTATGGGTGGAGATATCACGAGGGAGAGCAAGGACGAGGGAAGTATGCAGGCACGGCGAGGGTCCAACTGCGGGTGCTGCGAAGAACAGGCGAAGCAGGAGGGAGTGGCGGACTTGGCAGCTCTGCGCGCGTATCGGTTCACACTGCGCGCCCAGGGTCTGGCCCTTCTGGCCCTGAGGACATGCGATGCCGATACCGAACTGCATTACAAGCGAAAGAAGGAGAGGGGATCAGCGGCCTGAATACATGTACACATGTATATATATATATATACATTTATACACATGGATCTACAAATACATATACCTATACATGCATACGTGTACATATGCGTTAGCGTGTGAAATTATACATTAGTATATGTATGCACATGGATTGTGTGCAAATGTGCACGTTTGTACATATATATATACATATATATATATATATAACACGCCTATGCATATACACATGCACATGCGCATAGTGGACTCCGTATAATACGTATACACATACATCCACACAAGCATAGACGTACGCATATGATCATATATATACACGTGTGTATATACCTATACATATACCTATACATATACATATACAAATACGGGTGTATAAACATATACATACGCATATGCATATCCGTATGCATATATATATATATGTACATATACATATACATGCACATGCACATGTACATATACACATATACATATCCGCCATCCTCCTCCCGGGGCGCAAGGCTGCGAAGGTGTGTGCGGTCTGCTGTCATGTGTTATGTGTTGTCATTTCTTGTCTGGCCTTTTGTCTCTCCAGTCCTGCTTCCTGCCTCCTGTTTACTGTCTGATAAGGGGCCCAGTCGCGCCACAAAACAGCCAACCAGGGGGTGTGAACCTCAAATCCAGACTGCTCCGGGCCACCCTAAGGATTTTCATGGTGATGCCACCGCGCGGCCAGAATGGCCCGAGAGGCCTCCAAGATTGCCCGACGAGGCTCCGAAGAGAGCCTCGGGAGGCCAAGACGGCCCAAGATGGCCCCAAGATGTCCCCCCACGATGGCCCCAAGACGGCCCAAGATGCTCCCAAGACGGCCCACGAGGCCTCCAAGAGGCCTCCCAAGACGGCCCCACGAAGCACAAATCAACGAGTTTTCTAACGTTTTTGCAGGTTTTTGGCCTTCTCGCCTTCTTGGCTTTCCGACGCTCCGAGACGGACCAAGATTTTTCCAAGATTGCCCCACGACGGCCCTAGAAGCCCCCATGATGGCCCAAGAGGTCCCCAAGACGGCCAAAAGACGGCCGAAGAGGGCTCCAAGACGGTCCAAGAGGCGCCCCAAGCGGCCCAAAAAAGGCCTTAAGACGTCCCAAAAGAGGCCCAAGAGGGAGTCCAGGAACCGCAAACTCGACCGTTCCGCCCCGAGAGGGCCCCAGGAGGTCCGAAGGAGATCCCAAGGGACCTCGAGAGGCCCCCCCAAGAGGCCCCAGAGAGACCCCCAAGAAACCCAAAATAGTGTTTCCAAGAGGCCCCGAGGAGACCCCCAAGAGGCACCAAGGAGACCCCGAAGAGGCCCCCAAGAGGCCCCAAGGAGACCCCCAAGAGGCCCCAAGGAGACCCCGGCGCAGCCGCCCGCACAAGTAGTAGGGGGGCCCGCGGCAGAGGGCGAAGCCTTTAAGATACATAGACATATAAATATATTTGCACGTGTACATACACATGCACATCTGCGTATGAATAGACATACACAGATGCACGTGCACACGCATATGCATATGCAAAAACAGAATCGTAACCATATACACTTGCAAAGAACTATACGTAAATACATAAATCCATGTGTATATATATATATATATATATATACAAGTGGCACGTGTGTGCCCAGGCTCATACAAAAACTGAAGGGGCGTTTGAAGCAGGAGTGAAATGCAACATCGAAGTCGCACTCGAGCGCAAGTGGGGTTGCCACACCTTGCGATGTGTGTACCAGGACCCCCCAGGAAGCCTCAGGAGGCCCGACTTGGATACCAGAAGAGGCTCCAGGAGGCCCCAGGATTGTGAGTGTTGTGCGTGTGTGTGTGTGTGATGTATGCTTTGTGTGGTGCGTGCTTTTTGTGTGTTGTAGGTGTTGTGTGTGTGTTATGTTTGTCTAGCGTGTGATGTGTTGGGCGTGATTTGTGTCTCTGTGTGCATGTAGTTCTGAAGCCCCAGGAGGCCCCAGGAAGCCCCAGGCGGCCTCAGGAGGCCCCAGGAGACCCCAGGAGGCTTCAGGAGGCCCCAAGAGGCTCCAGGAGGCCGCAGGAGGCCCCAGGAGGCCCCAGGAGGTTTCAGGAGACCCCCAGGAGGCTCCGAGGCGGGGTCTGGGGTGCCAGAAGGTTCAGAAAGCCCCAGGAGGCCCCAGGAGGTTCCAGGAGGCCCCCAGGAGGCTCCGAGGCGGGGTCTGGGGCTCGATTTTGGAAGGATGTTTCAAGCGAAACCGCCATTCCCTGAGAATCGGGGTCACAATGATTGAAATTACCATGTGTGTTTGAAGGTTTTATGTTAAAATGTTGAAATTCCCATGTGTGTTTGGACCCTGACGTCACGATCTGCGTGAGGGGTGCCACCGATGTTCAGAATTTCGAGGATGTCCCGAGCGAAACGCCCAGAAAAATCGCGGACGCGTGCGCATTAATCGCCTCTGAGCTCTACTCCCTCGGAGAGGTGCGTATGAGAATACATACATATATATATATATAAATAAATATATATATATATACAGTGACATATGCATATGCGTATACCTATACGTATACATGCGCATTCACATGTACATATACATTATAGTACCTACACATATACATGCACGCATACATATGCATATACATATACACATACATATACCTATACATCCACCGACACAGTAGACTGAACAGCTGCATGTACATACACACATATACACATATACACAACTACATGTACATCTGCATATGCATACGCACCTGGCCATATATACTCATATGCAATGTCATGTGCGGATATGTTATATATATATGTATAAACATGTAAATACGTATACGTATACGCGCACATGCACGGATCTAAGCATATGCACGTGCATGCACAGCTACATATACATATATATATATATATATAGATGAACGCATATAAACGTACATACACATATGCGTATGCATGTACACAGGCATACATGTACATGTATATGCACATACATATGCACGTGGGCATATACATACACATCTACACACTAGCACATACGTGAGCATATAAACGCACGTGCACACAGACATGTGCACGACCATAGATGCATACATACACATATACATAATCAGAACCATACCAATACACACAAACACGTATACATACATACATGAGTGACAGTGAGTATACATATACAAATACATGTACTCATACATAGGAGTGCGCGTCTACACACATGAATTTGTATATATGAACATACATACACAAATACGCATGGAAACACTCACATATGCATATACATTGTCATAGAATATGCATAGTCATAGACATGTGTACGTAGATATGGCGATATACATGTACGCATACATGTAAACGTACGTATATACCTATAAAACCGACATGTACATGTACAAGTACACATGCATATACATATACACGCGCATACGCGTATACATACAATGCGTTAACATGTTAAACTGCTAAATATAATGTATACGCAACGATGAAGGTGTATATCTAAAACAACTCAGAAAAGGAAGAGGGACAGGAAGGTAGAAATTAGAAACCAGAGACCAACGAGGACGCTGGTGTGGGTCGCTTCTCAGACGTGCGGCTTCAGGCCACAGCAAGGAGTTGAAATTACTCAGTAGCCCTTGCAACCCATATTCCCAGACTACAGAATATTACCGATCACGGGAACGCCCGTCGAGATTGCTGAAGGAAGCAGGAAAGGTAGCGCACATCCTCGGGGACCACAATATCGCTAACCATGCTACTGGGAACCATCCACTCTTTGGGAACATGGCCGGGAGTGCTCTGGGAAAGCAAAGGAG